ATGATCAGTCTGTTGGGAAATATTGGTATGATTATTTTGATTAGCATCAGTCCTCAGCTTCAGAGCCCCATGTACTTTTTCCTGAGTCATCTGTCTTTTGTGGACGTGTGCTTCTCCTCCAATGTTACCCCCAAAATGCTGGAAAACTTACTATCAGAGACAAAAACCATTTCGTATGTGGGGTGCTTGGTGCAGTGCTACTTTTTCATTGCCCTTGTCCACGTGGAGGTCTATATCCTGGCTGTGATGGCCTTTGACAGGTACATGGCCATCTGCAACCCTCTGCTTTATGGCAGTAAGATGTCCAGGACTGTGTGTGTCCAACTCATCTCTGTGCCTTATGTTTATGGATTCTCTGTCAGCCTAATATGCACACTATGGACTTATGGCTTGTACTTCTGTGGAATCTTTGAAATCAATCACTTCTATTGTGCAGATCCCCCTCTCATCAAGATTGCCTGTGGGGGAGTGCACATCAAAGAAATCACAATGATTGTTATAGCTGGAATTAACTTCACATATTCCCTCTCAGTGGTCCTTATCTCCTACACTCTCATTGTAGTAGCTGTGCTACGCATGCGCTCTGCCGATGGCAGGAGGAAGGCATTCTCCACCTGTGGGTCCCACTTGATGGCTGTTTCTCTGTTTTATGGGACTCTCATCTTCATGTATCTCAGGAGACCCACTGAGGAATCTGTAGAGCAGGGGAAAATGGTGGCTGTGTTTTACACCACAGTAATTCCCATGTTGAATCCCATGATCTACAGTCTGAGAAACAAGGACGTGAAAGAAGCAGTCAACAAAGCAATCACCAAGACATTTGTGAAGCAGTAAAACTGCAGTAGACATTGTTGTCCCTATTGTAAATAGGATCCTATTATATATGGTCACATGTAAAAGTCCTAGCTGAGACAGCACTATGTAAAGGTAACTCTTTCATCCACTGAGAGGTTCACTGTAACAGAGTGATGCTTTACCTTATGTATGGACTCCAAATGCTAAGCATATTTTCTCTTACATGTGCTCCCACATTATAAAAGATTACATACTGTTCATTCACAATATGCTTAAAATTGGGCTGAGTATAGTCACTGGAGGAACTGACAAATAAGTGTAGATATATACATGTTAAGTTGGAGGTACACTTGTTAGTGTTGGATGTTATTTCCCAGATTATTTTACACATCTACATGTTCCTCAAACTAGAGTTCATGTGAAATATATAAACTCCCAGAAAAAAGTAAACACTTCATTTATTTTTCATGACCATAGAATATTGATGAACTGTTTGCCTAAAAAGTGTTTAAAATCTTGAAAATGCAATTATACTTAGAATTTTTAACTAGTATCTTAATATAATCCTGTTTGTCATCATTTTTCATAACTCGATAGTTAATAATGTTTTGTTTCAATGTTTTGTTTTCTTACCCTAACTTTACTTCTTGAGGGGTACTCATTCACACATTTTCTGATATTAATAGGGTGAACTCTCTCTGACAAAAGATTTTCCTGCCCTTATCATAATGAAAAGATGAGCCAATATAAATTTTCTGACACAAAGTCTGAGCTTTGGCAATACTATATTGTCTCATTAAATCATTGGTTTATAATATGATTTGAAACTTTTCTTTGCTTCAAGCTCCTTTTCACTAACATTTAGTTCTTTGACTCTGTATATAGCAACTTAAATCCAGCTTTTGGTGTCTAGAGTTGATGAAACAGACAAGAAGCACTGTTCAACTAAATGCTGCTGAACTGGTCATGTATTCAAATGTGACCAACAGAGTTCTAAATTGTATCCCATTTGGGCCTGGTTAAAAATCTTCAAAGGCTCACTGTCTAGATTGGTGCTTCCCCATAGCTTACTTGTTCTACATTATATTATTGCTACAGATAAGAACGGAAATTTGTTTACCCAGGTGACTCTTGCTAAGCTAATTTCATAAAGCTAAGTGTAAGATAAAAGTGATTGCTGATTAGTTTATTTGGGATGTGATAATCCACCTATAGGGGTGCACAATTCAACTAGTACGTACAAGTTGACTCTGAGAAGTAAAATACAGTTATAGTGATGCTTCTAGGAAGATGGACTAATTCAAACACAGAAAGCATTGTTGTTCATGCAAATTTACCATGGTTCACTTTCCTAGTAACTAGGAATGGATCTGAGTAAAAGTATGTGGGATACATACGCTTTCATAAATTTACATTCTGATAGCAAAGTATGAAAATGTGTTTCTAAACCACCCAAAATTGCTTCTAAAAAGTCAGAATGAGGTACAAAATGTAGGGCTACTCAAGCAACAACTGTTTTTACAGAAATGGGCTTCACAATCTGACATTCTAAGGTTATATTTTTTTGTGATCCTATGGCAGAGCTCTTCCTTATTCTCCACTGTTTCATTTTTCCTTTAGACATAAAAATCTGGCTATCCAACTGTACGTCAGAGTTGTAATCTCTCCTTATTATCTTGATATACATTGTTGGGGACTTTGTTTTTTTTTTTTAACAACTTAAACAGCATAAATGTATTATTTTGGAATTACCATCAGTTATGAGTTTAGGTAAAGATTAAATGGGCCTACTGCTCAGGGTCTGCCCAGGCAGAAATCAACTTCTTGGTCAGGTCTGTTGTTCCATCTGAGACTCTGGATCCTCTTTCCAGTTAATAAATGTGTTTCTAAATTTAATTCCTTGCAGTTACAGGACTGAAGTTTTCTTTTTAAAAAAATTCAATTTTTGTTATATTTATTATATTATATTACATTGTATGATGCTGAGACTTGGGATACAAATGATCTCATCATCCAGGTAGTGAGCATAGTACAGAACAGTTAGTATTCCAGTTCTTGCCCCACTCTTTTCACCCCACTATAATAGTCTCCAGTGTCTATTGTTCCCATTTTTATATCTACCAGTACCCAATGTTTAGCTCCCACTCATAAGTGAGAATATGCAGTATTTGGTTTTCTGTTCCAGCATCCATTTACCTAGGATTATGTCCTCCAGCTGCATTCATGTTACTGAAAAGGACATGATTTCATTCTTTTTTAAGACTGTGTAGTATTCCATGGTGCATATGTACCACATTTTCTTGGTGATAGTGTTTATATACCACATCCAGAAAAACGATTTGACCACTGACCTTAACTAATCATTCTTTACATAACACTAAACTAACTCTCCAAAAAGATAAATAGAGGCTGAGTGTGGTGGCTTATGCCTGTAATCCCAGAACTTTGGGAGGCCAAGGCGGGAGGCTCATGAGGTCAGGAGTTTAAGACCAGCCTGACCAACATGGTAAAACCCCATCTCTACCAAACATACTAAAAATATAGCTTGGCATAGTGGCACATGCCTGTAATCCCAGCTACTTGAAAGGCTGAGGCAGGAGAACTACTGATCCCAGGAAGCAGAGGTTGCAGTGAGCAGAGATCAGGTCACTGCACTCCAGCACGGGCAACAAGAGCAAGACTCTGTCTAACAAGAAAAAATAAAAAGGAGAATAAATAGAAAACGCATTTCACCTTTGGAAAAAAAGAGGTAACAAAGATGGTTCAAATTTACCTGCCAACTCACGCAAGTGATAAAATATAAAATGCTTTCAGAACATATTTTCAAATGTATTAATAATAAGAAACTAATTTGGCATATCAAGAGTTTCCCCCAAATGGCAAATAATGTTTGTATGGCCAAAAAATATTACTTCTAAATTTGAAGTAATCCCAAAAGAACCTTGTGTACCTTAGATATGAAAAGTCTATAGAAATTTAACAATTTTCAACCAAAGACACAGTAACACTATAATTGAATCTAAATTAGCAATTTGTTTATGTATGCAAAAGGTTTTAAAATGTGTATGTATGTAGAAATGAATTCACTGCATTTGTGGTTTCTTTTGAGGTAAATAAAATTCAAAAATGGACAAATAAAAATGCTTTTTTATACTTCTACCAACAGAACACAAACGTTTCTTTTTCTTCACAATCTTGCCAGCATCTGATTTTTTTTGCATTTTTGATAATAACCATTCTTATTGGTGTGAGATGGTATCATATTGGGCTTTTGATTCACATTTTTAAAATTATCAGTGATGTTGAGCTTTTTCATATGATTCTTGGCCTCATATATTTTAGTTCAACCCTTGTGGAAGACAGTGTGGTGATTCCTCGAAGACCTCAAAACAGAAATACTCAGCAATGGAATACAAATTGTTCTACTATAAAGACACATGCACATGTACATTCACTGCAGCACTACTCACAATAGCAAACACATGTAATCAACCTAAAAGCTTACCAATGATAGGCTGCGTAAAGAAATCTACATATACACTATGGATTGCTATGCATCCATAAGAAAAACATGAGATCTTGTCTTTTTCAGGAACATAGATGGAGTGGAAGACCATTACCCTTAGCAAATTAATGCGGGAACAGAAAACCAAATACTTTATGTTCTCACTTGCAAGTATGAGCTAAATGATGAGATCACATGGACACATGAGAGTAACAACACACATGAAGGCCTATGAGAAGGTAGAAGTTGGGAAGATGGAGAGAATCAGGAAAAATTACTAATAGGTACTAGGCTTAGTACCTGGGTGACAAAATAATCCGTACCACTAACCCCTATGACACAAGTATTCCTATATAACAAACCTGCACATGTACCCTAGAACTTAAAATGAAAGCTAAATAAAAAAAGAAGAATGCTTTTTTTCTCAGATGGCATCAATTTGTCTGATATTCATATCTTTGCAGATAATTTTTAATTATTTAAATATAGAATTCAAAATGTATAAATTGCATTTCTTAGCTATATATTGCTTGCATCAAAACAGCAGGTGATTATATATTTATTTATTTGGTCTGAGGACACAGACTTTGATGAAATAAGTTGCATCTTCATCCTTATGCTTCATGAATAAGGTGCAAGAGAGATGTCAAATGATGTTCCTATTATTATGTCAGAAAACGTTATTGATAACAACAAATAGTGCATCTGAAGTACGGAATTTATTTGAAATGCAAAAGTTGATTAGAATATGTAAGTGCCATATCTTGGTCACAGGTGTACCAAATATCCCACATGTAATTTATTCTGTGGAATTTGGAGAGCCATGCTTTTACAATGACGCTATCTTCCACTAATTGTCCTACTCTTCAGAGTGAAGACACTGACCAGGGCAAACCACAGTCTGGTGACTGGCAGTCTTAGAATTGAAACACAGCAGTTACTGTAATCTGTGAAAGAGAGACACTTACCATGTTGTGTTTCTTAAGAAACACCAAAAAGTTAAAAAGCATGAAATACAAAAGTATTGCTGTTTTCCAAGTAGCAGTCTCTGAATAGACCCAACAACATGGAATAAAAGAAGCATTAAAAAATAAAAAATCTCATAAGCCTTAGTGAGACAGCTATTTTATGTCATTATATTGGAAAACCAAATTAAATATTTTGAGTTTTTTTCTGCCCCGAATTTGCTTTTAAATGGCAAATAAATATGACCTAAATTCATGCAACTGCACTTTTGAAAAAGAAAATGTCTTTTCATTTCAAATTTGAGCATTTCCATTAGTACACATATGAAATTTGGCAAACATCACCATTTCAATTAATTAATTAATTAATTTATATTTAATTAATCTCCATACTCACAACAACAGAAATGATTCATTCTACCTTATATTTTCTCAATTTGCATCCCTTTCATTTTTCTTTTCAACCCACAGAATATCTTTATCTTAATGTTTCTAGGTACTGGACAATAACCTTTCTCCAAACAATAGAAGACAATGATTTCATTTTGTTTAACATGATCTGCTGATCACTTTTGTCATGGCCTCTTTCACATCCTTGTTCCTCAGACTGTAGATCATGGGATTCAACATGGGGATCACTGTGGTATAGAACACAGCCACCATCTTCCCCTGCGCCACAGACTCCTCTGTCGGACGTCTGAGATACATGAAGATCAGAGTACCATAAAATATGATGACAGCTGTCAGATGGGACCCACATGTGGAAAAGGCCTTCCTCCTTCCTTCTGCTGAGTGCATTCGCAGAATGGCAATGAGAATGAATAAATAAGAGAATGTAACTACAGTCTGAGAATATGTGACGTTAATGCCGCCAATTATGAGCATTGTATATTCTTTTGCAAAGGTCCCGGCACAGGCCATTTTGACGAGAGGTGGATCAGCACAGTAGAAGTGGTTGATCTCAATTTTTCCACAGAAGTACAAGCCATAAGTCCATAATGTTGCTGCCAGACTCGTCAGAAAACCATATATGTAAGGGAAAGAAATCAGTCGAATACAGACAACCCTTGACATTTTGCTGCAATAAAGCAAAGGATTCCCAATTGCCATGTATCTATCAAAGGCCATCGCAGCAAGAATAAAAATTTCCACATGGACAAGAGCAATGAAGAAGAAGCACTGTACTAAACAGCCGGCATAGGAGATCGTTTTTTTATCTGATAACAGGTTTTCCAACATTTTAGGGGTGACATTGGAAGAAAACCAGACATCAACAAATGACAAATGACTGAGAAAAAAGTACATGGGGTTGTTAAGCTGAGGACTGACCTTGATTAACATGATCATGCCAATATTGCCCACCATGGTGATAATGTAGACCATGAGAAAAACGATGAAGAAGAGAACTTGCCATTCCCGATGGCTGGTTAGCCCCAAAAGAATGAACTCTGTCACGTCGGTGAAATTGAGCATTTTCCAATTCTAAGTCAATAGGAGTTACAAATCTCTGTGATAAATAAAATAAAATGAAAGAAAAACTTAGGAATTTTAAAATTTATTATTTTATATCTTTATTTATGCTCCCTTTATACAATATCTATGATCACACTTTGCATTATTTTCACAAATCTTTTCTCAGCACCTGTTACACAATAGGCTTTATGGTGATTAAATGTAGACAGTCCCTATTATATAAAAAATTATACAGAGTTTAGTGACTGAAATATACTGTTATTAAGTATTGCAAGCAGTCACATTTGTAAGATTACTTCTTAAATATCCCTCATTTCCAATGATGGCATATTTTCAGTTTTATATTTTTAAGATAATAGTAGGGAATTATAGTTCTTTTTGTAATAGAACCAAAAAAGTGTGCTTTTAAAACCTAATCTCTTTTTCATTATAAGCTTATTTTCAATAATTAGAGAAGAAAATCATGTGATTAAATAATCAGCCTATAATGTCATAACAATATTTTCATTCTAATCTCATATTTGCATTCTTTTCAAGTGAAGAACAGAAAACTGATTATACTAGCCATCAACGTCAAGTTAAAGAGTGAATTACTTGTTTACATTCATGCTACTAGGTATCATATACTGCTATGTTCTAAAGATTAAAAGATAAAATGTACGCATTAATGTCAGTATTTATGAAAGTACTAATGTAAATAAATGCTTTCTAAAACTTGGATGTATTCTTACAGAGTTTTAATGGGAGCAGAAATTTAGAAAGTAATTCATTTTCTTTGGGAATTCGGTGGAATTCTAGGAACGTTTCTTGGATAGTTTGCAAATTTATTTTCAAACCCAGAATGTATCACATGAAAATTTTTCTCAAAATTGTTTCTCACATTATATTTTAAGTATATTAGAAATAGAATTAGTACTTTGCATGATGTTAATAAATACAGGTAACATCATGCACTATTAGTGGTTGACATGATGTTAGCAGACATAATGGAGAATAATCCACAAGTGTTCCTCCAACAAATGGGACATCTTTGTGGCCTGCCAAATTTCTTAGCAATTCAGAATCCACCTAATAAATTATTTACTGTACACATCATTCATTTAACTTAAAAATTACATGCACACACACACATACATGTCTGCATATATGTATATACATATGTATATAAACACACACCTATATGTATATACACATACATATAGCTTATATATATTTATTTAATATAGGTATGAGAGAAATTCCATTAATTAGATATTTTGTCAATGAACATTCATATTCTGTAGAACAAAGAGTGCAAGTCAATCTAATAGGAATCTTGAGATAGCCTTTCAGCAGTACAGTATATTCGTTGGAGATTGAAATGTTTCATACCTCTCATGGCTATATACTATCTCTAGAGCAAATGATTATTCCCAAGACCTTTCTTGTAATCTGCAGTATTAAACTATGTTCAACCACAATTTGAGGAAAATAAATCTCATTGCATAGTAAAAATAAGTGAACACTTATTTACAGTGGAAATCCAAAATTTTTCAAACAGCAAACTTGGAAAAAACATTTTTCTATGCATAGAGGAGGAAATTACTAACTGAAACAGATTACATTCTACATGGCTTCAGAAGTTTGGTTTAATTAATAAAAATTTGAGGCATTAATTAGTGGTAAATTTTTAAAAATGAATAAGAAAGTTCTAAAAACTATATAAACTGCCTTAGAATATATTTATGTATGGGCTGCAAAAATTTTCTTATGGTGCTGTTAAATTAATATCTAAGATCCTTATATTCATATCTAAACAGAGATTACAGACACGTCAACAGATAATTCCAGATTTCGGATTCAACATTTTATGCCTGCAGCTGCCTCAAACATTCCTCTGTATGTAATTTTCAAAGACTGACAATAGAGGGATTCTTATTTGGAAAGTCTTATTCATTCTGTAGCACCAGGGATGATTCAGCACAAACAAAAATGTAGAAGATGGCATTGTCAGTACTTCCCACAAGTTAAATATAGAGCCTTGAATGATGGTTATCCAGATGATAAATAGCAATAATAAAATTACCAGAAACTAGGGGTTAGATATGATCCTAGGGGGTGCAAAGTCTATGAAGAAATAGAGAAATGGGGACCTCAAGAATATTTAGAAGATTTCCTCACCATGTAAAGTCAAGAATACACACATAAACTTTGCTTATTGAATTACTCTATTTCAAATTAAATTACCAAGAAATATGGATTCTTTTCCAGACCCAGTATAAAGCAATATTAAGTATTCCAGTCAGGCCGGGCATGGTAATTCATGCCTCTAATCATAGCATTTTGGGAGGCTGAGGTGGGTATTTGGCCTGAGGTCCGGAGTTATAGTCCAGCCTAGCCGACATGGAAACACTGTCTCTACTAAAAATACAAAAATTAGCTAGGTGTGGTTGTGTGCTTGTGATCCCAGCTACTTGGGAGGCTAAGACAGGAGAATTACTTGAACCCAGGAGGCAGAGGTTGCAGTGAGCCCAGATTGCACCACTATAGTTCAGTGCAACACAGCAAGACTGCATCTCAAAAAGAATAAGAACACATGGACACAGGGAGGGGAGCACTACACATTGGGGTCTGTTGGGGGGAATAGGGGAGGGACAGCAGGGAGTGGGGAGTTGGGGAGAGATAGCATGGGGAGAAATGCCAGATATAGGTGAAGGGGAGGAAGGTAGCAAATCACACTGCCACGTGTGTACCTATGCAACTATCTTGCACGTTCTTCACATGTACCCAAAAACCTAAAATGCAATTAGAAAAATAAATAAAAGAAAAGAAAAAAGAAAAAAATAACATAAAAAAAGAGTAAAAACAAAAATGTATCCCCGTTAAAGAGTTCTGTTTTTATTGTCAGACCTTGGTTGGATCCTGTGTCTATGACTTATTTTATAAAATTGGACATGTTTTACTCTTGATTTTTGTTTTATTTTACTTTTCTTGTTCCCCAATGTGACTTAAAATAATAATAATATCCATTTAATTGAGCATTGGTGACTATGAAAAGAGACATTACATATTAACACATAAAAATATAAAAAATTATCAAATGCACTCCATTAAGAATTTGTAATTATCTAATTATATAATCTTTTTGAAAAAATGTCTCTTTTTTTATGTGTCTCTCTCATACACCTACACACATAATAGATAAAATCATGAATGCATTCCCATAAATCATAAAAAAATAAAGTCTACAATGCAAGCTCCATCTGACAGTTCCTGATGGATGCATTTTTCACCAACCTGAGAATGAAGAGAAATATCTCCAATAAGGATGCAAAGTTGAAAAGTGCATGCTGTATATGGGAACGGTAAACACCTTCAACCTGACAAAAGAGAAACTGAGGTAAGTGCAAAGGAGAAGCCTCCCTTAAGTGCTTGCCTTAGAAAGCAAGGAGCAATTAAAAATTTTTCCTTAGAAATGACCCTGTGGGAAGTACATCACTAGAGAAAAAGCCATCTGTTCAGTGTGTGGGCTTTTTTTGTTAGAGTTTTCTAAAATTTTATATTCCCCCCAAACTCCAGTTATTTTGAATGGGTACTAGAATCAAATAAAATTTGGGAGGGGATTTGTATCATACTAAACTTGTTTATGGGGTTACCCAAACCATATATATAAATTTCATGCTCTATACTTCACATTCTCTGCCACTTGGGTTTTCCAGAAAAAATGGGTCAAACATTATTTCCTATAATTAAGATTATAGCATAACAAAGCAGAAAAAACTGTTTTCTTCAATTCCCTCATTTTCTAAATAAGGAAACAAGTAGTGGTAATAATAATAATAGCAATAATAATGAATTTTTAAAGTAACATACATTGGCTACTAATTTAATTATTGTAACTCAACTCTGTGGCAATTATTATCACTCTCATTTTATAGACAAGAAACTGAGTCTTTCAGAGGTTCAGTGACTTGATCAATGTTACACTTTGGATAAATCAGGAACTAGATTCCTGATTCCAGAATTTATATCATTAACCATCTCATCCTTTGTTTCAACAAGTAACCATTACAAGGAATGAGATCAAATTTATTATTTCCTAATCCTAAAAGACTCTCATTTTCATTGCCATGTACATGATGCATTGTATCACGGTCTTTATGGGCTTAAGGGAACATAAATATATTTTTTGTATAGCCAAAAATTGGGGATTGTTTCAGTGCTATATGCAGTTCATCACTTTACTTGGGTGTCTGACAATTTTATCCCATAGCTCAAAGGTGTTCCCTCTTCTTCCCTCCCACTGAGCTACATTAACACCAGCCATGTTTACATTCCTACAATCAATGTCGATTATCATTTATTAAGTAGTGGAGAAAATGGTTGGTTTCTCCTCACACCCATTTTTCCTTCTCCATGGTAATATAGTTTTGATTAAAGGGCCATTGACTGTATTGCCCCAGCCCTGCCCCAGTATTTATAATGGTATTTGGCACATGGTACGTGTTCACCAAACATTTGTTAACTAAAGAAAACGGTTAAAGTGGTTGAGTTTTCAATCGATGAGTACATAGATCGGAGGGGTACACATCTAAGTACACTTAAGTACTTCTCAGGATAATGTTGGATGTTTCAGACATAAAACGAAGTTGTAGGGTAACATGGAAGAACCTTGGTTAAGACTGTGCAAATTGGAGTGCTGAGTGCGTCTAGAGAGAACAGTTGTGCTACCTATTGCCAGGAGTTTACCATCTACACAAGTCATGGGCCTCAAATAACAAAGGGTAACCTGCAGATCTCTGAATGCAGGCTGCTTTTCAGTTGCAAATTAACTAACTTTTGCCTGTGCTAATATTGTGTTAGGTTTAATTTTTTAGGTCAGTCTCTACAAGACACTAAATAGCCTCATGTGATTTTTCTGGGTTTTATGTTGTAAACGAGCTTATCGGTTACTGTGAAAAGCTGTGAGAGCCACTTATTTAGCACAGAGAAATCCAGATAAGACTCATTCCACATGCAAAGAAAGTAAGCTTTTCTTCTTCTAGTCCTAATTAA